CTAAGTGAGGTCTGCAGTGTTTGTCTCTCTGTGCCAGCCTTATTTCACTTAGCATTAATGTCCTCCAGGCGCATCCATGTTGTTGCAAATTACAAGATTTTCCTCCTTTTTGAGGTGCGATAATATTCCATTGTACACAGAAGTACAGTGAGCCTTTTGTATCTGTGGGTTCCACATCTGTGGATTTAACTAACCATGGATCAGAAATGTAGTTAGGCCTGTGGTGGTTGTCTCTGTACTGAACATGTAGAGGCTTTTTGTTTTCTTGTCATTATTCCCTAAACAATATGGTATAACAACTACTTACACAGCATTTACCTTGTATTAGGTATTATACGTAATCTAGAGGTGATTTAAAGTATGCAGGAGGCTATGCATAGGTTATAGGCAAATACTACACCATTTTACAGAGGGAGCCGAGCATCTGTGATTCTGGTATCCATAAGGGGCCCTGGAACCACCCGTATGGATAGAAGGATGACTATATATAATCATGTATCACATAACAATGTTTCAGTCAGTGATGGACTGCATACACCATGGCGGTGCCATAAGATTATAATGCTGTAGTTCTGTAACTTTTCTATATTTAGATACGTTTAGATTACCATTGTGTTGCAGCTGCCACCAGTATTCAGTACATGAACCTGCTTGTAGCTTAGGAGCAATAAGCTAGACCGTATAGCCTAGGTTTGTAGTAGGCTGTGCCATCTTGGTTTGTGCAAGCACACTCTGTGATGTTTGCACAATAATGAAATCACCTAACACATTCTCAGAACTTACCACCATTGTTAAGTGATACATGACTGTATCTTTGAGATGCTGTTTTGAATTCTTATTGTCACAGGTGAGCAGTGACTGTCTGAGGCTGTTGGCGCAGGGGTAAGAAGAATTTACCAAGAAAGGCAGAGAGAAAGTAGAAAATTACGTTGTAGGTAGGTAAGGAAAGGCAGAGAGAAAGTAGAAAAATGTGTTGCAAGGGTGCAACAGGCAGCGCAGGAAGAGAGAAGCTGACTGCAAACAGACAAAGCTTCGCTGGGGATTTTATAGAATAGTGTTTATGCTGCATGTTGAAGAAGGCTTTGTGCAGTACTGATAAGGCCGAGGTTGCAGTGAGCTAACATACAGGTGTCTGGTGAGAAGCTGGGCACAGGCGGACTGTGTGTCCTGGACCAGAAAGGACAGACTTGGAGCTTACCTACTTTTCTTTTGGCTTCCCCTTCTCCTGCCAGCCTGGCTCCTTTTCCCTCATTAGGGCATCACAGTGCTTTCCTGTACAGAAGTTTTCAAGTTTGATATAGTTACCTTTGTGTATCTTTGCTTTTGTTGCCTGTGCTCTTAGTGACATATCTAAAAAAATCACTGCCAAATTCAACATCAAGCTTTTTCTCTGTGTATAAAACTATAAAAAAACTAGTTAAAACTGTAAAAAGTTTTATAGTTTTAGGTCTTACATTTAGTTAGGTCTTTGATCCATTTTTGGTAAATTACACAAAATTTATTTTTTTAATTTAAAAAAATTTTTATTAAAAATTT